GTACTGGGGTTGTTTAGCCTGGAGAAATCATTGCTCATTGCTCTCTACAACTACCTGAAAGGAGCGAGGTGGGTGTTGGTCTCTTCTCCTAAGTAACTGGCAATAGGATGAGAGGAAATTCCAACCTTAATGATTCTATGATTTCTTTTGCCCCTGAATAACCATTTCTCACCAGTCCAGCTAGAGTTCTCAAAGAAGATTATGAAGCAGGGGAGTTTTAAAAAAAAAACATTTCCTACTCTAGTAGTTTAAATATGGTCTCACCTTCTAGCAAACAAATTTGTAAAACGAAATTCCAATTCTGAGTTCTCAAAATGTAGTTATAGGCTTTATTTTGAAATACAAAAATAGTCACCTAACTCTTGCTTGAACTGACAAGTGACAAATAGTAACCTAACTCTTGCTTGAACTGAGAAATGACAATGCATTTCACAGCTGTTTTTAGTATGTTTTACATGAAGTTAAACATCAACGAAATCCACTTTCATCACTGAAGCATAAGAAAATAGCTGGCTTAGCAATTCTCTTTGTACAAGCAGGCAAAATGAGTTTGAGTTTTAATTCAGTCACTTCATTTTTATATTTATCTTCACAAGGTTTCACATGTATAACGCATGCTTTTAGTCTTGCTGTTACTAACCCTAGCTTATGTTTATCAGTTACTGCATGAATGGCCTCCTGTGCACACCTTTTCAAATCATAATGTAGCCTATCACAACAGCATTCTGAAGAGGGAGCTAGAGTATTATGTATAGTGCTTTCTTCAGCCAAAAGAATTCATACTAACTTGCACCTTTGAAACAAGACTTGTTCAAAAAAAGAAAAAAGAGAGAAAAAAGCTACCTATCTCTGGTCCTTTTTAAGTGCAGAGGCAGCCAATTAAAAACATTAACCAACCTTCTATTGCTTTTACTCAGTGCGACTAGTTCATCATATAGTATGGCCTACTTACAGGCATTGAAAACAATATTACTTTTATTTCAAGACTCAAATCAAATGATATATAAATGATACTAGAGATTTTAGCTATTTCAAAACAGGCAGAACACATTTCATGTGTTCTATAATTTTCATCAGTTTTGAAATTCAGTAAGTAGGTACTTTCAAATAGAAAAGCTGCTTGGAATATCTCAATACTTTTAAAAGCATAAAACTAAATACACATGTACCAAATACTATTCTCACTTTGTATCAGGCTTCATAGTCTATTGGGAAAACATTCATCATCATCTGAAGTTACAGAAAAGCTAATTAAAACATGGTGCTAGTAGAGCAACAATTTTAGTCATTGGCAGAAGAAAAAATTTAAGAACTTACAATATATTTAAAACCCCACACACTTCCATAAACACGAGTTCATGGGACAGCACACACAAAACAACACAGAAACTAAGACCACTCAGAAGCAGCTCTGCATAAGGAAAATATTTGCTAAACTGACTATTATTGCTAGGGAATCGGAACTGGGATTTTCTAAAATCCAGTCTTTACAGCCAGATGGTTATTGGAAGGTGTACAGCTCTGCTACCCTATCTGCCTTTGGCACAGTTTTTAGACCTTAAGAGAGAAGCAGAGGTAGAAGCCAGGTATACTTTATAACATTTTTAAAACCTAATTTGTATATTGATCTGTGTTTGATCATCATTTGTTACTGAACTCAAACTGTTTATCAATTCATATTCCACCTATCCTCTCAAAGTTACTACTATAGCTCCAATAAAACATCAACACTGTCTTCAAACAAGCAAAATAACGATAAATCTCCACTATTTTATCTAAAAAGGGAGATACGTCATTTTTATTGCACGTATTATGAGGGGAGAGCCAAGTGTTGAAGGAACAAACACATCTATCTGTAGATATTTCATTTTATTTATTTATTAAACTTTTTAACAAGTTCTCATTCTTATTTCACTTAGAAGTGCGCTCCATAAATTCAATCTAGGACACTGCCTAGATTGAATAGTTGAAGGTAACTGCTTGAAATGTTATGACAGCAGGAAAATTTACCCATGGGAGTTCTCCTAGAGGCCTTTGAGAAGGAATACGAGGGTGAAAGAACTGGAGAACACATTAACCTGATGTATAATCAGAAGCAAAGAAAGAAAATTTTTAAATCCAAACACTCCTAAACAGATAAGCATCTCTTACGGTATACACTTCAACATGATAAATTGCAAGACACTTCTCAAACTTGAAATCAAATGCTGAGGTTATGTAAAACTGAAAACAATGTCTTACCTTGCCCCGAATTATATATTGCTTTCACAGATTTTTTCACCTTCTGTAGTGCAGTTCTGTCTTGATCCAATGCCTACAATAACAACAAACTTACTTTAAATATTTAATTCATTGATCAACAGAATACACTAACATTTCAAAAGAAACCTGCAAAATAAGTAGTTTTACAGGCTGGAAAAAAACTGCAGATACAACATATTAAGCCTGCAGGAAGGTCTGAGATCATTCAACCCCTTCAAGACAAATTAAAGAACTGAACTGAAAACGCTCGGAAGGCAGAGTAGAGCAGCAATGACAGTGCTAAAAGAAAATCACTATTTTAGTTTTGCTAGGGACAAAGCATTTATTCAAACTGTAATACATTTTGAAAAATACCCAAGAAATAGTTAGTAGATGCTTCTACTATGGCCCTATAGTTTCTACTGCAGCTAAATTGCTTGTTAACATCTATGGTTTTCCCACAGTAGTAGTCTTCCAACTATAGACACAGATTATCACACTAACGTCTTGCCCCAAACTCCACAACAGAATTTTATAAATACAAAAGATGAAAAGTAGCAAATCAAAAGAAAAAGGACTAAGATCTGATTTTGTGCAACATAATGTGACTGAAAGGAAATATTTATCATAATAATACTCAAATATGCATTTTCAGGATTCTATCATTCTGAATTTCAATTTTTCTGCAATAGTTTCAAAATCCAGAAGAGAACGTTATTAAGTAATGATGATTTTAGGATTATATTTCTAGGTACTTCCTTTTTTAAGCAACATAACTTCTCCCTACCCACTGGCAATCTGATGTAAGAAATAAATTAACATGAGAAAGAACTATTATTATACAGCAAAAAATAAAATCAATGTAAACAATAGTCTAGACTTGTGGAATTAAGAACCTTAAAAGCCACATACTGGTACTGTGCGCAATGATCCAGTTAGTTTCACTTAAGTATGAGGTTTGGATATTCTGCATACCTCACATGTTGTACACAGTTCCCTGTTGTCCATGAAGAACACAGAGAAACGTTTAAATCATTTCCTACGTTTTTTTCCCCCATTTAGATCATAGGCAATTTCCCATCATGTAAATAAAGTTAGATCAATAATCTCAAGTTTTAATGAAGCTGGCAGTGTTTGCCATATTATATTCACATTCAAATCACTGAAGATTGGAGAACTTGTACTCAGAATTACTGTCAGGATAGCAGCCCAACTGAGCCCGTTAGCTGTTGTAGACCGCAAAGTTCATGTTGTAGACACCCTTGGGTAGCCATATTATCCAAAAAGCTTAAAGCTTGGAGCTCCTGTGGGTCTGATATCTGAAGACTGGCAGACCAAGGTAGAATGGCAGCTACTCCTACAGCAGGGTGTACCTCATCAGAAAGGGTCATCACCAGCAACACTATGAGTGAAAACTTAATCAACAAGCAGAGCTTTTGCTGTCAAAGCTGAGATGATTAACGTATATTGCACTGGGCATTAAGAAGCCCCAAAAAACCACAGGTCAACTAGAGTGTTAAGCACTGGAGACGGTCATACATGAGGGTACCGCTCCTACCCAAGTTCAAAACGCTGAGTGTTTCGGTGCATGCACGCTTACAGTAGGAACCCATATAGAGATAAACCAATTAATATATAATAGTTCTATTTTGGAGTGGCCCAATTTTAACCAAGCAAAATGTTATAGCTGAACAATACATGAAAGTCTAACAAAAGAAAATGTAGTGTTTCTGTTCTTTATCTGAAAACCACCATATTCTCAAATCACACAACCACTTCTGTGGTAGCTAAGACTAGAAAGTTTGGAATCGCAGAATTTATATAAGTGTTTTCTAATACTATTTATCTCTAGTTTTTAATTTGCAGCAGAACAATGGATTCAAACATTCAGAACTGCAAATGTAATTATTTCTTTTGCTCCCCAGTAAAATAGTGGATTTTACTTGACTTTCATCTTGGCAGAAAGAGTTAGTTTTTAGATTTAACACTACGAAGAACTCTGTGTTCCTTTTCAAGACAGTGCACACCAGGTGATTCTCCTTAGATTCCTTTGCAAACGCTGTCAAAAGCTTTTGCTTCTGCTTGCATGCTATGCAAGACAGCTGTTATCATACATTTCTACTGAAGTTCTCTCCATCTTCAATGACCAGACAAAAAAAAATGGTTCACTTGTCTATTGAGAGTTTGAATGCAGGATAGTATAAGAATTTGAAACCAGTATTTTGGAGAAAAGACAACAGTTAACGCTGATAAGATTCAGAGACAAAACTTTGTATTAAGTTCTAATACTGAAGCAAACTGGACACTCAGGAGGAGAAAATAAATACAAAAAGTCCAAGAAAGATGGTACTTGTTCCTAAAGATATCAATCTAGAAGACCAGGACAAATAGACTAGAAAAATCTTCCAAATTAGATTTGATATAGAATTAAATTTAATCACTAATATGGGAGCAGCAGGGAAGGGAACATTCATTATTTTAAGAGAGCAATTACTGAGCAAAGCAATATACAGAGATGACGTCCACTGCCTGAAGGAGCCAGTGATCTAAGTCAGAATGAAAACCTCCTGATCATGCAAGATCAGCTCTTCTAACTAATCAGTTTGGAATCCCCCAGATTTAATTTCTCCTTTCAGCTACCATTTAGCTACTTTGAACCCAGCCTGCAATTTCAAACCACCAACCTAGTTCAAATCTGTACTACTGAAGAAAGCGGTGTCTCTCCTTCCTCATACCAGAGCACTCTTGTTGGCTACACTGTGATGCAGTTCAAGAGCTGCTGTGGTGACCCGAGCCCCACAAAAACCAGGGGCTCCTTTTGAGCACTGTGGATGTAGCTCACTTTCCATCGGTGCATAGCACATTGATAGAAATTTGTACTTAGAGCTACCATTTCACTTTCAGAGGCAAGACTTCTTGCAGCACCCTCCCTCTTAAGACGTACATTTACTGGTAGCTATTCATACCAATATAAAAATTGGAAAACTCGTCCACCTGAAGAAACAAAATCAAATTAATTTTGGGGTGGAGGGAAGGTGAGTCCTCCCAATGGATCACTTCACTGATGTAGATCACTGAGTAGCTGCACATAGGCTTTTACCAGCATGACACAGCACACAAGTCAGTACCAGGTCAGAAAAGGTGTATGTTGACATCCCATAACCCACACCGCAGTCCTCTCTGCTAGACAAGGCAGAGCTGTGCACTGCTGTTCACACAGACAGACGCTGCTTTTGCCTCTCTTGAACCCTCTAGAACCTGATCTCTTCTCAGTAAGGGGTATTTCTATTTTTGGGCCATGCTCTGTTGTAATAGCTACTAAATTCTAAACCAGAAATTATACTACCGTGCAGTCTGTAAAGTGCTAGATTCTGGATTGCTATCTATCTTTGATGTACTAAAACCTGCCAAACTCACATGTAGATAGACCACTAATTGTTTCTTTAGAACCTTGTGTCTTTTTATTCTGTATAGATATGTACATATTTGTGTGCATGTGTGTGTGTAGATACTAATATGTATATATTTGTATGCAAGCGCGTGTATATAAAAGTCTATATACTGGAGATCATACTTAAGAATATTTGATGTACTTATTCCTAATAAACATGAAAAGCACGGTTTAAGCAACACAAAAATCTTCCTTTCTTGACTGATGTAAAACTACTATTACAGAAACTGGTCACAAAAGTGTTTCATATACATATTAAATTAAGCTCTTCTAGAAATTAGCATCATCCTAGAGGCACACATTTGCACAGAGGATGCTACAGCCCCTTCAGCCCACTAGATCTACTAAAACATCAAACACGTTTTGTGTATCTCGCAAACCTTTACAATTTAAAGAGGAAAAAACCCCGCAGATTTCTTTCAGCCTTACAATAACAAAAGACAAGAGTGGCTCAAGACAGTGACAACTACATTAGTATGTCCACATACATTATTAATCCCTTCAAGTAGATTATCCAGAGGAGATGCATTTTCCAGCTGGAACAAAACTGCTCATCCTCATTTCAGAGGAGTTTTAGAATTTCACTCCATTTGTAGGAGGTTCGCCCTAAAAAATTCCATATCCTACCACTACCAAAATCCACCCACAAAAATAATATACTAAAACAGAAGTGTTTTAAATAATTACAGTATTTTGCACAAGACAAATCCATGACAGAAGCTTGAAGGCTGTTAGAGCATGCACAATCTATACAGTCATGACAAAAAACCCTCCTTGTATTTTAAGAAATTATTTTCGTATATTAAAAAAACAATCCATGTGAAGTATAGAATATTTGAGGTTATACACACAAATGGTTAAAATGAATGCTTGGTAGTCACATGCATGTATTGTCAGATACAAGATTAATTACTTCACAGAAAACACATGGATGATGTATTGGCTTCAAGGGACTAAAACTAATAAGTCCTTCACTTATCAATTTACACACTAATCTAACCCTGGCACAGAAGTGACTGACAGTTTACTGTTGTCTGTACTGGAAAATACGCTTGCCATCTGCTCAAGTCCCAGTTACAATATCCATGTAACGAAGTAGAGCAATGGCACCTTACAAACTTACGGCTGTTCAGCACGAGTATCAGTTTTCTTCACAATGAAATCCAAACTTATGGGATGGATAATAAACATAGACTAGACAGGTTAATAAGTTATTACATGCCACTGAAATTGCAACAAGACAAAACCCCATAATTTCCCCAGTGAAATATAACCAAAAAAGAAGATAAGAGTCAACTGTTGGTCTCCTGTAGCTTACCCACTCGGAAACGAGCAGACTATCAAACTCACGTAATTCTGTAAACGGAGAAGTGATTCAAACCACCCTTCCTGTCCTTCCCTTTCTGCTCAGTTTGTACTGGCCCTGCCAATCACCAGTTTGAAGTCTGTTTCCAATTGGTCTCAGCACATGTCTACATGACAAAAATAGGGGAGTGGTTAAGAATTTTCTGGATGGATATAGACAGGCACAGTTTGAACTTCTCCTGAATTACTTAAAAACCCAAAGCGTCCAAAAGAGAGAAAGCAAACCAAAAAAACCATCAACAAGCACTTATCACTGT